GTGTCTAATTAAAACAAATGGGATATTTGTGACACGATGTTTTCTGGTAGTATTTCTATGATTTCTGAAAGTATTCCTATAATCTTTCAAACTTCTTTTGAATGTCCCCTTTTAAATTTTGAGTTTCTAAATTGTGTAACTGCAAGTCTCTGTAAATAAGGGAATTTTCAGCTTGGTGCAAATTATTATCCAGAGAAACTTCAGTTACACAACACAGCATTTAATTTTGACAATTCTGAAAATCTCTGTCTGGAATAACCTTGAGAAGTATTTGCAGGGCTAGATTTACCAAGCTAACACTCTAAAGTCAATTTTCTTGGCTATATCATGCAATCCAACAAACATTTTCTACAGCAAAATTTGAACTACAATGGAGAAAACATCAATATGTAATACTATCACTGAATTTTAACTTCCATGGAGTCTCAAAAGCCAGAGACAAAGATTTTCATTTCTTTCCATTGCTATAGATCATACTTAAATACAAAAAATCCATGTTCATTAAAAATATCTCAAGTATATCTATGCAAATTACTATCTTACATTATTCATAAGTTTCTCCCTGCAGTTTTATATGCTTAGAAAGTGTTCTTTCTCTAAATTTGCTTTATAATCCCTGAAGGTTCTCAAAGTGCTAATTCTATTCAATTCTTTACTTTCAATTTCAGTCTATGGAGCAAATAAATTATTCTTTGCCTGACATTCATAAAAGGTTGCTTAATTTTGGTAGGTGTACAATCTTTTAGTTTTATTAAGTCAATAAATTAGCGATAAAAGTGATTTTTGCAGTCAGATTTTTCTGCATATATTATGATAGCTTATCAAATTGCTACTGAAATTTTGCATAAAATCTGTATTCAGGGTAGTTTTATTTTGAATAATTTTTATCCCTAATTTTATTGCCAATTCATGCAAGCCTCCTGCATGAAAATATTTTAAATTTAAAACGCATAGGGACTACTTTGGAAAAAAGAGAAGTACTTGTTTCTGAGTGCTAAGAGCCTTTTCATGTTTTGTTTTCTGTTTTTAGGTATGAAGATCTTTGTTATACTCCTTATACCTATGGAAAAGTAGCATTTTATATAAGATTATTATACTTTTGTATTATATTTACATTTGGTGACACAACGTATTCTAGAGAGGACAATACAGGTCTAGGATGGGAAAGCCTGAGTGCAGCTCCTGACTTGGACCCTTCTCAGCTGTGTGACTATAGATCACGAGCTTAATGACAAACAATTTCCAAAGCTCTGAGGCTAAGGGCTAACTGTGATAAATGGCTGATTCAGCCTACTCACTCAAAATAATATTTCCATTACTCATTTAGTTCATTTGAAAACAGATTACTATTAAATAAAAGTACTGTTCACATTCCCATTCATATTTGAACTTTGGAGAATATCAAAATAGATGACAAAAATTGGATTGAATAAGTGACCACATGCCTGACCTGGGTCCCAAAAGTCCTCCTTCACAGTGTAACACCCCCTGCCATTTTAACAGTGACTGACTAGTCATTTTAAGAGCATTGTTAATGCTAAAATTGTTCCTTAGAAAGTTAAGTGGAGCAACAAAATTTACCTTCTGGTTTAATAGTTATTTTACTTTTAATATTTTTTAATATATTGAGAGTCTCCTTGAAGATTTTAAAAATGTTTAATGCAACTATAGATATTTTCATGCCTGCTTCATCCTAGATCTAACCAATAAAATATCTGTTGGATTTCTTGCTACAAAGTTATCCCTCTCTGGTTTATAGACCTTGTAAATATGAATGAAACTTTTTTAAGGATTAATATACTTGGGATTCTAGCTATGCCTCTTTTTTGTCTGGTTGTAAAAGTGCAACATGGTTATTTTTCACAGAATGTTCAGGGGGAAAAAATCAACTTTTAAAATAAATCAAAACAATATGCATAAATGTAATACATATATTTTCATGTAGTTTAAATATCTTTTTATGGGTAAGTAATAGCTCCAGGCTATAAGATATGAATGTAGGTCTTTGATTTTTCTCTATGCAATCTCACTTTTCTTTTTATGTTTGATTAATCATGCATATATATTCAAATATGCATAGACCGTACACCCATTTTTTGCCTGAATCACCAATTGCCATATTTTTCTCAACTTTAGTTATTGTTGTTATCTAACAGTTAAATAAAAATTTCAACTGACATAATTTCAAAAGATGAATCTTATTTATGTAAAAGTGTATATTTTTGTTATATTATAAATATTACAATTGTTGAATAAATAAGTGAAACAAAACATGGATTATATACCTTCTGTTTTTCTTTTTTGACATGTTGATTTATTTCACCATGTGCTGGATTTTCTATGTTTTATTTTCTCCACATTCCTTCCATATTAAACTTTATATTACAAAATTGCTAAAATAGGAATGTCTCCTTTTGTATGAATCCATGTTTTAAGATAGCTTCACATGATAATTTATAAAATTCAAATTTGAATAGTTATATTTAGCTGCCTAAGTGAACAGAACTATAACTTATAATGCATTCATATGTATACACTCATAAGTTAAATATTTACCTGTCACTAATTATTATTTTTAGAATTTTCTGATTACCTAGTGTTATAGGTGTAATAGTGAATGAACAAGAGAAATGATCACTGTCTTCATTGAGTTTACAGTCTAGTGGGGGCAAAAATATTAATGAAAATAACATAGTAAAGAAATACGGGTGTAAATTTGCCAAAGTGTAAATTTGCCACCCTAATGCATGTTATGAAGCAGAGTACATGATGCAATAATCAGAGAGAATGCTGAAGGTTTCTTGAAGGAAATGATGTTTGAGGTATGGAAAACAGAAGCAAATTAGGCAAGCGGGTTGCAAGAGAGAATTTCAGACAAGGAACAGCATGTGCTAGAGGCATTTGGTAGGATTTGAATCCATCCTGGTAAATTCTATGAATGGTTAAACTTTGTTTTACAATAAAAAATATTTTATTGCAAACAAAACACATGAAAGTATGTATATTCATTGTAGAATATATTAGTTTTGTCCTGTTAGTTTGAATATTACTGCTACTGTTAATAATAATATGTCTTTTTTGTGTTCATCTGTCAATTACTATAAATCAACAATTTAATTTCAGCTACTTATTCTGGACTGAATGGGGACAGATGCCCTGCATTGGAAAGGCTCGCTTGGATGGCTCGGAGAAGGTTGTCCTCGTCAGCATGGGGATTGCATGGCCGAATGGCATATCCATTGACTATGAGGTCTGTTGGATTTATTTTCTTAAGTATTTAAAGTGCTTTAACTGCCAACTTGCTTTAGTCCACTTTTAGTGTTCTCTTATTTCCTTAAACACGTAATCAAAAACAGCTTATCATATTACCTTTTAATTGATCTTTAGGAAAATAAATTGTACTGGTGCGATGCTCGTACAGACAAAATAGAAAGAATTGACCTTGAGACTGGAGGGAATCGTGAAGTGGTACTGTCAGGGAGCAATGTGGATATGTTCTCAGTTGCAGTCTTTGGGGCTTACATCTACTGGTCTGACAGGTAATTTATTTTTTTATAAGTATCCAAGTCTCAAAATGTTATTTCAGTGCCAGTTCACTTCACCCTTGTAGGATTCACCATTCCATAGCAAGGTCACAAAAAGGATCTCAAAAACCCATGTAATTTCCACGGGAAAGGCAAACACTCTCTTTATTCCAAGCTCAACCAATTCAATGTCACAGACTAAAGTTGGTGTCTTTCCCTTCTGCTGGGCCATCTGTTATCTTCAGCTTAAATAACTGGCTTGATTTGAATTAATTAAAGAGTGTTGATCATGTATGTTCTCTTCTTGGCAGAGCACATGCCAATGGATCCATCAGAAGGGGCCACAAGAATGATGCCACGGAAACCATAACCATGAGAATGGGCCTTGGAGTCAACCTGAAGGAGGTTAAAGTCTTTAACCGAGTAAGAGAGAAAGGTCAGCATCCTTATATCATAAGTACATTGTATGGCATGTCTTTCTCTTATTTTTAAAATGTTTTTATCAAAGTTAGGTTAGGGATTCTTACATCAATCCACAACCTCAAAACTCTTTTTGTGAGTGTGTGCATCGAATTTTCTACAAAATTCATGTAGTAGCCTAATGAAATGAATATATAATGGTTCATATATAGATATTTTTAACTAGGACAATGCATATATATGGACAGATTATATGCCTGACATGTCTTCTAAATATAGGTTTGGGCTAAGAAATACAGAAAAACTTGATAAATACACATAGTCAATGCAAAGTACAAAACTCAATTAGGATACGAGACAGTAAAAAGCAGCCAAAATGTTTGTTTTTTATCATATTTTAGTATTTAAGGTGATTATGGCTCCAGAAGGTTGCTGTTAGTGTGAAATATGTTGAAGTTATAACTTCCTTAAAATGTATATTTTGAAACTGAGATGACAGTGATTTGGATATTAAAAAAGTAGCTCCACTAAAATACTGTCAATTTTATGTTCAATAAAATAAATTTTATTTAATTTTCTTGACATCAAAAGAAGATATAATATTTTCAGTGATGATGATGAGGGATACATAGAGCAGAGTTAGCCTGATGGAGAAATCTTAATAGCATATCGCATCTTCACTCAAAACTGGAGTAAAAACCTTATGCCCAGATACTTAGGAATTAGGCCCATTAGAGCCATCAGTTCCTTTGATAACTTATGTACTTTGTAGATATAGAGTTTAAATAGTACATGTTTTGTGGTGAATTCAGTTCATGTTTTGAGTGAATGAATCTGTTAATTATGCTAAAGATTACAATATATATACCTATTATAATCTCAGTATCAAGTATCAAAAAAGAGTTATACATTTAACTAGCTGGGGTTTTTTTTTAATGCTTTTATTTGGATAGTGAGAAAAGCAGAAGAATGTGATTTTTGATAAAACAAATACAAGATTTTAAACCCGTATGATTAAAAAAAATAAGTACTTTATAGTGTTTGATTTTTTTTACTGACCAGTCTAAAAATTAAGAATAAAAACCAGAATATTCAACACTAAAATTTTAATATTTCTATTAAAAATATTTGAAAAATTAAAGAGGAAAAAACGTGTGTATTTGTGTTTTATTTATTTATGCTTTCATCCTCAGGGACCAATATTTGTGCCAGGGACAATGGTGGGTGTCAGCAACTGTGTCTTTATAGAGGAAATTCCTGGAGAACTTGTTCTTGTGCCCATGGATATTTGGCAGAGGATGGAGTTACTTGCCTAAGACATGAAGGCTATTTGCTTTATTCAGGGAGAACAATATTAAAAAGTATACATCTTTCTGATGAAACCAATTTAAATTCACCAATAAGGCCATATGAGAATCCACATTATTTCAAGAATGTCATAGCCTTAGCTTTTGACTATAATCAAAGAAGAAGAGGAACCAACCGGATCTTTTACAGCGATGCACACTTTGGAAATATACAGCTTATTAAAGATAACTGGGAAGACAGACAAGTAATTGTTGAAAGTAAGTACAACAACTTATTTTTGAATAGTTTGATGGAAATGGGTATCATTTGGATTAGTGGAGAAATTAGAATAGTAATTCCATGTAGCAATTATATTTTCCTAGAGTTTATATTCAAGAACAAATTCAACTACATCATCCAACCTCCCAAAAGCCAAAGAAGCAATTAACTGCTAGGATGTACACCATGTATATTATGATTATTAGTTTCTACTCATGGAACTTTTAATATATTTCTTCACAGTGTTTCTTATAAGTAAGCATATTAAAATTCATGGGAAATAATTTTTTAGTGCAAAAATTACTAATTTTATTTTCTTCCAGTGGTTGACATTATATCTTTAAGAATATCTGGCTAATTATATTCACTGAATTGCATTTTCTCAAACAAATATCAGAGATTGTTTTGCTTTTGTGTATGTGTGTACATATACAGTTGCGATGACAAATGTTATTAAAGGAACAATCTAATATTTTTAAATATTTTAAATATTTACTCAAGCATAGTATGAAGATTATCCACATAACTTAGAGAAATGTCTTTACTGGTATCCAACTTTTGCAAGTACTATCTTCATATTCCTCATAAACATCTCTTTTTACTATCGCTATATGATTTCTGCATATTCCCTACTTTTCCAATTTCACTATACTGAGGTCAATAATTTTATTACTTTTTAAATTGCAAAATACTATATAAATTTATCATAAAATGTCTAAGTAATATGGATTTAAAAATGAAAATTCTGATTCATTGGTGCAACATAAATTCCATTTACTACTTATAATTGATGACTGTAACACCTCCAGAATTTTCTTTATGTATGCGTGTCTGTACAGTATCTAATTTCAAAAATAGAATTATCCTGTATGCATTATTCAGCTACTTTTTTTCCACTAACAATATATCTTTTAAAGCTTTCATTTTGATACATAAGACACTGTCTTATTGTTTTGAAAGCCTATTCCTAATTCTATACTAAGGATAAACTAATTTATTTAACCATTTTCTTATTGATAAACATTTATGTTGTTTCTGGTGCCTCATCATTACCTACAATGTCACAATGAACATTGGCACATATAAATACGTTCATTCACATATGTTTTTTGTGTTTTTTTTTTTAGCATGGAATCCTAGAAATAGAATTCCAAATTCAAGGACTCTTTGTTTTATTTTTGTTTTAATTATTTTTCAGTTACAGTAGACAATCAATATTATTTTATATTTTTTTCTGGTGCACATCATAGTGGTTAGACATTTATATAATTAATGAATTGATCCCTCCTATTAGTCTGGTACCGACCTGGCACTATACATAGTTGTTGCAATATTATTGACTATGTTTTCTATGCTGTACTTTATATCCCCATGGCTATTTTGTGACTAATAATTTGTATTTCTTAATCTCTTCATCTTTTACACCCTGTCCTCCAATTCCCTCCCCTCTGTCAACTATCAGTCTGTTCTCTGTATCAGTGAATCTGTTTCTGTTTTTATGTTCTTTAAATTCCACATACAAATGAGACCATATGGTAATTGCCTTTCTCAATTTGACTTATTTCACTTAGTATAATACCCCCTAGGTCCATCTGTGGATAGATCATTCATGGTAAGATTTCATTCTTTATAATGACCGAGTAATACTCTATTGTATAAATGTACCACCTCTGCTTTATCCAATCATCTATTGATGGACACTTAGATTGCCTCATATCTTGGCTATTATAAATAGTGCTGCAGTGAACATGGAAGTGCATATATCTTTTTGAATTAGTATTGTGGATTTCTTCATATAAATACCCAGGAGTGGTATTGCTGGGTCATAAAGTAGTCCTATTTTTAATTTGTTGCGGAATCTCCATACTGTTTTCCATAGTGGCTGCACCAGTCTACATTCCCACCAATAGTGCATGAGGGTTCGCTTTTCTCTGCATCCTCACCAACGCTTGTTTTTTGATTTATTGATGATAGCCATTCTGACAGGTGTGTGGTGATGTCTCGTTGTGGTTTTAACTTGCATTTCTCTGATGATTAGTGATGTTGAGCATCTTTTCATGTCTGTTGGCCATCTGTATGTTCTCTTTGGAGAAATGTCTATTCAGGTTCTCGGACCAGTTTTTAATTGAATTGTTTCTTTTTTTGGTGTTGAGTTGTATGAGTCCTTCATAAATTTTGGATATTAACCCCTTATCAGATTTATCATGGTGAATATCTTCTCCCATTCAGTAGGCTGTCTTTTCGTTTTGTTGGTGGTTTACTTTGCCATTCAGAAACTTTTCAGTTTGATGTACTCCCGGTTGTTTATATTTTCTTTTGTTTCCATTTCCTGAGGAGATATATCAGGAAAAATGAGTGTTTATTTTATTGTTTATAGTTAATCAACTTTCTCTCCAAAAGACCAGGTTATAATAATTTACATTTTTTTATAAACTGTCTATAAAACAGGCTATTTTTCCACACTTTTGCCAATAATGATTTTATAATTTTTTCTTATGACTATCTAATAGGCAAAACAGTCAACTTATGTTAATATACATTTACCTGCTAGTGAGTGAGATTCTGTTTACTTGTGTAAAAATAGATATTTTAGACCAAACTTCATATTGTACATTTTCATTCCATGTTATACCCACCACTGTTATTTTTTCTTTTAATGTTTAATATCCTTCACAATCCTCTTTGCCTATTCAAATCTTATTCGGCCTTTCCAAAGGAGTCAACCATATACTTTACAAATATACATTTTTGTTTCTTTATTCCCCAGGTTAGGATACTTATGGATAATTTTATACCAATTTGTATATTCCAGCACATAACATTTTGGCTTTTCTCTCTCTCTTTCTCTCTCTCTCTCTCTCTCTCTCTCTCTCTCTCTCTCTCTCTCTCTGCCTGCCTCTCTGTAAGTGCAACTACAACTGTACTGATCATAGAGTTCAGACATATTTGAGATTTGTTGATTCTTACAGTATACCTCTATGAAGTTTACATTATAATACACTTTGGTCCTCCATTTTCCTAGACTTATGCAATTCAGTTGGAAATGCTCATATTATATCCATAGCATATTAATTAACTTATTCATTCATTTTCATGTGCTCCAAATTTTTGTCAGGAACCCTGGAAGTAAAGGTGAATATAAACTGATAGACATTAGAGGCCACAGTTTCAGAATACAACTACAAATAAACAAACATTGAAATTTAATAGAATGTACAAGATACCAAAGGCCTAGAGAATAAACACAGTCTGCCTGGGGAAGGGTAGAGAATCCCACTGACCTGAGTTGTGGAAATTGAAAGCATCACTAGGTGTCTGCCTTTTGGTTGGGCCAGGAAGAGGAGGACAGAAGGAATAATAATCGCAGACCTGTGGCTCTCAAATGTGGTACTCTGGGGATCCCCAATACATGTTCAAGGAGTCTCAGAGATCAAACAATTTTCATAATAATACTAGATATTCACCTTTTTTTCTCTATGTTGACATTAGCACTGATGGTACACAAGCAGTGGTGGTTAAATTACTGATACACTAGCACTAATCAAAACAATAGCACCAAATTGTACTAGTAGTCACTGTACTTTTCACTGCCACTTAATAGTAGGGAAACAAAAGAGCCATTTTCATTTAAGACATCTTTGAAGAAAGAGTAAAACAATTATACCTTGATCCTTCAGTACACATCCTTTTAATATTCTGTCTGATGAAATGCACACAAGGCACTTCTGTTACATTCTAAGTGCTATGGTTACCTGAAGGAAACCATGTATATGTGTGATTATCAGAGTCCATGGTTGTTTTAAGGAACACCATTTTTTTTTTACTTGAAAGGATGAGGAACAGACAAATTGCAGTCACTCAAACCTAGGTGTGTTGCAGACATACTCTAAAAAATGAATACAATGAGTCTGTCACTACAAGGAAAAGGACCTATAGTATTTGTTGCAAATAATGAAAATCAAGCTTTGAGGTAAAAGTTAAAATTTTGTAAAACTGCATGCTCCACAATAGGCTCAATATCTTCCCAATATTTATAGGTTATTCTAATGACATGGGTGGTGATATTACTAATGTGATTTTGGATGTACTCCCCAATGCCATGTGTCAATATTTGAAAGCTATGCATAACTTGGTAAATAAATATTTTCCAAATGACATGATAAAATCATACACGGGGAAATGTTCCATTCAAAGTGCAAGATATATCAATGAATTTTAAAGTAATAGAATATGAAAAGTTCATCACTGTGGTTTCTAATACCACACTGACACTAAACTTTAAGTAACTACCACTTGTCTTGTGTTGGTATAGTATAAAAGAACACCCTTTTTCAACTTCCTAGCTGTGTGAGACTGGATTTTCTTTACATACTTCAACTAAAACAACACAAGAGATAGGATGAAGAAGTAGATCTGAGCATCCAGATGATTTCTAGTAATCAAGACATGAAACAGATTTGTAAAGGTATAAGACAATGCCTTCTCGTTAAAAAATAATACAGCTTTTTTCTCATATGTTATTAATATTAATATGCAATCAATACATTTTTGTTATTTTAAAATAAATGAATACATACTTAAAACAAAGTTTTCAGTTTAAATGTCTAATATGGTAAATAACTAAAGATATAAACTCACCTACACACAATGACCCTGGATTCCTTGATAACTTTTTATTTTTTAAAAGATTTTTATTGGGGAATTGGGGGGATGGGAACAGCGCTGGGGAATCGGGGGAAGGGAAACAGACAATTTGCTGTCATTATGTTCTTCAGTCTAGTTGTGGAGGACGTTGCTTCACTGGCCCAAGTTGGCACTATCATTGCTCCTTCCAGGCGAGGCACATCAGTCGCCGACTTCTGGACGGCCGCTCCCAGCGGCTGCTGGCCACTCACGCTGGCTGCTGGCTACACACAGTAGCCCATGACAACCCACTGCCGCAGGGGCTGCAGCCTATGCCATTGCCGGCAACTCACGGCAGCCCAGCTCCAGGTTGAGC